TGGTGCATATATGTGAGGAAAAAAACTATCGGAGGGAGCAATCATGTTTGTAATTAGTTCATGTTCGCGATCATTGTTCTGTTATTCTTCGTCTAATCGTGGGTGACTTCATCGAGTACGACAACCAAGCACAGAAGAAACGGTGCATCTTGACCTCGTTCAATTTTGACGCCGTACTTGTCATGAAAAGAGAAGAACTTTTTCGAAACCGTCGCAACCAATTGATTATCTTTTTTGATCTTGAAATCTTGCGCTCGGAAGTTTCCTGAGATCTTGTATGTGCCTAATTTTGATGTCACCTTGAATTTGGTGCCAAGTCCAGTCCATTTCACTCTACGTCTGAAACAAAGAAATGATGATAAAAAAATGGTACAGCAAGTAATATTTTCGCTAATCTTTATCTAATAATACAACATAACTCTTCAATTAAATGACAGATTTACTCGGATATGTTGCCTATAGCTAGGTGTAACTATCATTATAGTTGATTGAAAATTTTTAGGACAAATGAATATACTATTTTCACTTGAATTTATTTGTTCTTTATTATGAACGGACATAAGTAAGCAAGAAGGAATCTTATGGTCATTCTGACGCGCTCGAACATGGATAGAGGCTTGCTTGAATTAGACCTACTCTTGTGCATTTCAATTCATAATATACACGTTTTATTATTGGAAATATAGCCCATGACTCAATATCTCTGAATTTAAAGTCTTGGTTCTTATATTTCTCAGATTTTATTAGCTTTAATGTCCTAATTGATCATATCTTGTTCGACAGTCGAAAAATGAGACATTCCTGTTATCATAGTAACTTTAAACATTTCTACCGCAATGATCAGTCACGTTCATTCTTGTAATATTGTAATAGATTAGTCAAAATATCAACAAAAAGTTCAGTCACACATCTTCATTCGCACTTTTCTACATTTTTCTCACTAATTTGAAATTATAGGTGTGACACTCTCCGCCTTTCACATATAATTTCTTTCATTCTACTATAGTACATATTCTTTTTTGTCGTTCTATATTTCTTTTTTCTCTTTACTATATTGATATCACCTATATGGTTATTATATAGTCATAAGGGGTTAATCTAGTAGATAATCAATCGTTACTTGAAATTATTAAAGTTCATCTTTAACATAAACCAAGTCATTCATATACTAAAGAACGCTATTATGAAGACTCATTAAACTCAATGATAAAGGTGCATGTACGAGATGAGCGACGCTAGGAAAGTCATTTTCATTATTTAGAGTCAAATCTAACAACTGCAACAAATTTAACACCTAAAAAAATACAAAATTGTAAAATCAATCGTTGTCATCAAGTAAATCTTTACCATCATGAAGTCATCTGCTGACTCTATCCTTAATTCAACATAACTAAGGTCAAACAGATACTAAAATCAACAAATATATTTTATGTAACATTAATATTATGCGAAATATATCATTTATTGGGTTAAACAATCAAGCAACATTAGAAGAAATCGCACAAAGATAACACCATCGAATTTTTCATGAACAACATTACAACCATTTATATAACAAATAGACTGGCTTGATGCATTGTTTGGCTGATTTTATTTTTTCCGTTCCTGAAACATCTGTTTTTTTCTTTTTTCCCTATAGAGCGTCAGACGTTTGTTCTACACTTTTTTCTTTCTTTTTTTCCTCACATATGTGTGCGAACACACATCTTATTTTAGGGAAGTCGACTGTTACAGTCTGCGTCTTCTACATATAATTTCTTTTGTTCTGCCACAGTACACATTCTTTTCTATCATTCTATCATTTCTTTTTTTCCATTTACTATATTAACAGTACTTATTTTGTTATTATATTCTTTGCCCTTATGATAGACCTATTTTTTTCTTTGCTCATGTGATATCATGTTATCTAATCGTCCTTCGCTCTTTTGGATATATTTATATATATAGTTATATATTTCTTTCTCTAGTTTGAGCAGAGCGACGTTACGCTATATTCTCTACCTCGTATCTGTCTGTCTTGTCTCCCCCTTTTGTCTGGTTATATACTCTCTTTAATACATTAATACATAAAGATTTTCAAAAATATCCATTCTTACCCACACAACACCGATATAATTCCTCTCATAATAATGGGTTAGAAGAGAGGAAAAGTATTTAATCAACATAATCTATATCACTGCATTTCATGCCTTGTTCTGTCCTTCGTGACCTGTAATCATTGGCCTTGAGTCTAACTAGGAAGGAGAGGTCGACTAGTTCGGCCATTCAAGATCAACACTGCAGGCTTTTTTTAGAAAATGTACTCAGATTCAATCCTGAACAAATCGGACTATTAAAATGGAAGAGTGTGGTGAAGAAAGACTAAAAATTGATTTTACAAAATTTTGAAAAGAAACTAACTTCACGTCAGCGACAACTTGATTGTTTTGACGAATCTCATATTTGGCGAGACCAAGTGGATTGAGGATGTGTTTTACTACAAATGGAAGATATTACAGACATGATCGTTAGAAAAATGTGGAAAATAGTCTCTCACTCACTTGAATAATATTCTTTTCCTGAATCGATATCCGTCAACGACAAATGTTTGCCCAGACCAAGTGTTTTGAATCCGACCTATTATGAACATGCAAGAACAACACTGAACATAGTTGCCAGAAAAATAAACAAAAATAAACCTTATAGACGGGTTTGCCTTTGTTGTCCTTGATCGTATATGATGCAGTGCCTACTGTAAGTAACTTTTGTTTCATCTCATACACGGTGGGCGATTGAAGTCTTGGCGAAAATAGAAAACCGGCCACCAAAACTAAAGCATTTCCCAATAAGAATAGTTGAAGAAAAACAGGAGTCATCATCTTGTTAGAATGATACGAGTGCTTCGCTTCTATATATGTATTGAATGAGTGTAGAAATGTTTGAAACTACCAGAGTTTTTTTTCTTTCTTTTTTCTTGCTTATACCAATCTCCTTCTAATACTGTCCAGAAATGTCTCGGCTTTGGCGTTCTTCTTCTTTCTCTTCCTTGTAATTACCACATAGAGGAGTAGTATGAAGAAAAAGTATTATTATATCAAGAACAGAGAAGAAAAATATCGAGTTAGAATCAGGCATACAAATATCAGCTGTGTACTTAGCATTGCAAGTGAGCTCTTAGTCGCATTTTTGATCGATTCGATGTCGCGGAACTGAATCGATGATGCAATCCTCAGCGCATCGAGAGATGGATGAGGTATTCCATAACTTACATGTCATAGAATCATTTGTGGATCTTTACGAAGCAGCTATTACAAGTGGTAATCATCATTAAGAGTTCATTGGAGAAATGCAGTACATGAGTCGAAGGGATGATATAATTTTTAACGAAGTCTCACGTTCTTATGATTCAAAGTGGTAAAGACGCTCTGGAATCTTACAAACTTCATATCAAACCTTTTCAAAAACTAATAAATCGAGACACTTCTGCATTTTTCTGATCAATTTAATATACATGATGGTCAGTGAATGATACAAATTCAACAATAAATATTATTTTTGAAAAAATAAAGAATTAGTTATAGTCAAATGCTACGGCAACATTCCATGAAGTTCGACACATGGTACTTTATTTTTAGTGATGTGGCAAATAGCCGTAGTTTTCGAACTTTCCGTCGGAAGGATTTTAATGTACATGTAATATCCTTTCGCAAGGAGTCAGACATGATTCGGTTAGATTTTGAACAAAATTGGACTATCATTTGTTGAAGCAGATATAAATGTGGAAGCGGCCAGCCATGAGTGACGCCGATGAACGATTAGTCGCGCGTTTGATAAATTGACATTTACAACAAGAAAGATATTTTGTCAAACTTGAAATGATTTCTGCGATTTATGGCACCTGAAAATGTACGTCTCTTGGAAACAAATGAAGGGTTTTTAAAGGTTTCGTACACAAAATACAAACGTAAATGATTATTGTCCAACACGTTTTCTTCGTTATGGTCTGTTTCTCTAGCTTTGTTCTTTGGTCTAGTTTCTCGTTTTTTATTCCACTTGTGATTGTAGGATTCCAGATTAGGAGTTACCCTAATAAAAATCCGCTAATTTTTAAGGAACGAGAACCAATTGAGTTCAGCTATAACGCAACTAGACGATTGATTGAGAAAGAAGATAGGATGTAGGATACAGCTAATTACATATAGCGCCTCGAAGAACGCTGACGAGTGACTTGCCGTTACTTTTTAGATTGATATGAATCTTACTTTCGCGAAGATTTCTAGAGAACGTAGTAGCGGTGGAGACAGGGGTGGCTAGGATACACTGAGCTCTCTCCGGCACTCTCCAGATTTGAAACGATCTACCAGTGAAGTGGAACGATATACTTATTTTCAGCCTTAGAATGAGAGCTATAGAAGGATGGGGACTCGATCTCCCCTAGAAGTTTTACCTGACTCCGCCATTAGAATGTAGAACAATTTCCAGAAGAACTCGACCAGATAGCTAGAATCTGTGATCACGTAACCGCGAGTGGTCCTCTAGAGAGACACCGACAAGTGACTCGCCGTTCAGTTACGGAGTTGACTTGAATCCTACTTGCATACAGCTTTCAACCAAATGTAGATTGGGCGACTGATTTCAACACGTTATTAATGCTTCATAAAAGCCAAAAAGAAATGTCATCTATGATGAGGAAATCGTGAGCACACTATATTTTTCTAATTTGAGATTGGCAATCTTGTTTTCAAAAATTATAAAACGCGAAAGATTTGTTCAGAGAGAGTTAGCTGTGACATGATACATATTGACGATTTATCTGACAATTATTCTCAAAATGGTAGAATGCATTCTGTCGAGAGTCAAGAGAGTCGTTGCGACGAGCGTTATTTTTTATATTATTTCATCTTTTATTTCATAATTTTATTCCCATCAAGCTTATAATTTTTCATATTTATTGCAACAAAAAATCTCTACTATTTCTTTCTGTATATAAAAATATTAAGAAAAAAAGCAAAATTACAAACAAAACATTACATTACCTACAGGTCATTTGATCAATTCTATTATGGTAGTGGTAGATAAGTAAATATTATATTTACTTTCTTCTCGCATTTTTTTTTCCTAGACATGATATCTAGAGTGATTATAAAGCAACTATATTGATATCTCAATTGGACTACTAAAATGAATTGATTAGGTCAATCGTCGTTTTAAATTGTAAAAATGATGTTTCTGTATATCATCAAGATCTTTTCTTATTAAAAAATAAATAAATCATTCAAACAGAACTAAAAAGTTGTCTGCTATACTATTGTTACTCTGAAATAGATTCAGATGACAGGGAAGAAACGCAATGTTAATGTGTTAGTACAAGAAAGAAAATCCAAAGAAATGTGAATATTTTTTCTTTTCGTATAATGTTTGATTTTACAATAATAATAAATAAATAATAGATGTTTTCGATTTTGATGTGTCATCTACATCAACAAATATAATTTAAAAAATTGGAAATAAAAAATTAATAGGATCATTAAAAAAAAGGAACGGAGTATTATTGATAATAATGAAACTATAGATAAGATTTTTAATAATGATAGACGAAAAAAAATTCGACGTTCAATAAAACATGAAGAATCAACGAATTTTTTAGATATGTTTAAAATACAAAATAAATACAAATATTTCCCAAATAATAACAACTTTAAATGATTTAAAAACCCTTACTTCTTCAAAAAAATTTAACTACACAAAAAAAAGATAAAAATGTTTTTTGATGATATCGGATCTGATATCATTGTGTGAACAAACTACCGAATAATACTTCGTTCCTTTTTTAATGTTCCTGTTAATTTTAATCGTATTTATTGGTGTAGATGACATATCAAAATCAAAAATATCTATTAGTTGTTTATAATTATTATTTGTATATTGATGTTTTGCTGAACAATTAGTTTCAAATAAATCATCAAATTCATTATAATTATTTGTACTATTAGAATTTTTAAAAAAGGCGGTCGGGCACAATGCTTATAACTTTTTAATCAAGATGGTTAGAGTTCTGTGGCCTTCATTATTCGAAAGAAGGTACTGGTAACATCCCTCGATCCCTGCTCTTGAAAAATGAAGACCACATATCTCTAGCTATCTTGGTTAAAAAGTTATAAGTATTTTGCCTTGCTGCCTTTTTTAAAATTACGATAGTAGTTGTTTGATTTAGATGAGAATGATTGCCTAAATGAGTTTATGATGGTGTTAGAGAAAACAGTCATTAATTTCTTGTTAGATCATTATTCAAGAACAAACGAATCTAAAAAAAGAAATTAAAGAAAACAAAAGAAAATGAACGAAGTTATGTAAAGATATAATTATCAGTAGAACAGCTCTTTCTTTTTTCTTTTTCGGTGTTTAATCAGTTTTCTAGCTGTGCTGCCTTGTTCTAGCGTATATACGACTAACAATTCATTTTTCCATCAAATCAATTGTTTATTGATGCGTAAGATAGAAGAATCTTTTATGAAATAAATGACAGTTTCATTGAGGCAGAATCAATAACAGTTTTAAGTCCGAAGAGTTCTAGATAAGATGAATTTTAAGTTATAGACAAAAGTAATTACATAGACTGGAGGCTATCTTTGATAGATTTAGAAATTTTTGTTTAATGACTATGAAGTCATGTTTTATTAACTGAAATAGAATGAAATACGAGTTAGAACTCTTTGATAGGCATCTGAAACTTAAGCTAGCAAAAATGACGACAAAATCGTAATTAATGGAATAGTTCTTAGCAAAACACATGTTAAATTAAAATAGTGTCTTTGGTTGTTATAAGCAGTAGTTGTTGGCAAGGTTTATGAAGTATTATAGTGCTACTACCATTTCACATCATTCCACAAGAGTATAAAAATGAATACTTTGATTATGAGTCATTCATTCATTGTTCTCTCAGTGTCATGCTTCTTTAATAAGTAACAAAAGAAGCAACTCTATTTTTCCGATTGAGTTTGTTGCTTTATACTTCTCTTGTACAAGCATGGCAATGAATTGCATTCTATTCATCTTTTACATTATTTTGTAAAGAATAAAATTCACTTCGATACATAATTCTTAATCATGTTATCATTCGATATGCGTCAACACATTTTCGAAGTTGTTTTTATTGTTGGAACTAGAAATTTAATTGAAATTTTTATTATTTATGAATATTTTTTTGTCTCAAATAAACTTATGATATAAAATATTAAATGATATAATCCGATGGTATGAAGTATCAGCAAGAAATATATTATTTGAAAAATTCCAATGCATTGCATTTGGACTTGACAACTGTTACACCTTATGTCATTTCTCTATTAATCATTGTTGGATTCGTAAAATTCTGGAATCTAATACATACATAGAATCATATTGATCGAATATAATAGTTGTTAGATTATTAAATTGATATGATCATACATCTGATACTCCACTTTGTTCAACTATTGTTATACAAATTAGTAATCCTTTTTTTTATTAAAAATGAATCATTTATTAATAACAGTAATAGAAAAACTATTTGCCAAGAATCTATTTTTAAATATGATGATTTAATCGATCAGCAATATATAGTGTTTTATTATGACCAATAGAAATTCTCTATGGACCATTTAGTTTTTCTGCTGTACTATCAGCACCAGCTCTACCAGTCATATTTTATTTACAAGAAAAAAACATATATTTACAAATATAAATGAAATAATGAAAATTATCAATTGTCCAACATTATTATTTCATATTGTTCTTTTGGTAACACGATTATTTCCATATTGAGATAC